CAGGGAATTTGACCGAGAAACGTTCCACGTGGTGGAGGTAGCTGCCACAGGTCGCCCGAGAGAATGACATTGAGGCCACCGAAGGGCGCAATGCAGTTAGGGGTATGTTTGCCATATTTTGTGGCAGATAGATCTAAAACAAGTTGCCGACAGCGAGCTTCGAGACGCGCTAACATCTCAGCACTCACCATGCTGATTTCGTCGAGAAGAAGCCAGCGCCACTGCACGGCTTGCCGCGCCAGGTCGAGAATCCGTCGGCCAGCAACGTTGTGATCGTTGCCGTGCCACGACAGCCCGAGAGCTTTGTGGATCGTCTCACCATCCAAGGGTTCAGCATTGACAGCTTGGAACGCAACAACTTGAAATTCTTTGCCTGGAGTCCAGCCAAGACATTTTTCGAACAAGTCACGGCGCAATATGTTCAGCACATACGATTTGCCTGTGCCCGGCCCGCCGTGCAATGCCCAGCGAAGAGCCTCCGTGTTAGTTTCGGCTGCGCCGCCGCGATCTTGCCCCGTGGCTGCTTCGTGCTTGATCCGCGCGCAAACGGTTTCAATGAAGCATAACTACTCTTCGTTGCACTCCTTTGTCTGACTTAGATCATGGCGAAATTGGTCGACTTTCTGTGCTGTTGCCCGTACTTCGATTTCACACACGCCTGGCAGAGAGTTGTGGACCGTCTTTGGGTTTGTATTGTTACATTTGCGCTCTAAAGCTTTCAACCCTCTTCGGATCGCCTTCGGATCGTGGGCTTCGAATGGATTGCGTGCAGTTTCATTTGCCGCACAGCAGGCATTGTGCTGCCACGTTGTTGCAGCTCGCGCCGCCGCTTCTTCGTAACTTGCAAGAAGTCTGGTGTCAGCATCCTTTGGTTGGTCTGTGGTGCGTGTAGCTCGATGTTGTCCCGTTTTTCGAAAAGATGTTTGTAGTGCTGTGGGAAGTGTAGTCGCAGTGACGAGCAATGGCTCATCAATGCCACTGTCATCACTATTTGCGTCTTCTGCGCCACTCGGGCGTACACGGTACACTGAAAGAAAGTTACCGACGTAGTGTTTTGTGTCTTCGCATGGGAGATGCGTCAACCACATGCGTAACGCATCAACCCAACTTTCTGCTGCCGCTTTCAAACGACCGACAAATGGTACATTTCCCGATGCCATAGGTGCTTGCAACGTCCATGCTCGAAAATAGGTCATCGTCAATCTTGCGTTGGCCTCTCGTTGGCCGTCTTTGTGCAAAGGAACGGGCGAATTCTCAAAGTGCGGGCAGCATGGGCGAACACGCCGTTGGAGATAGCAACGATGTCGCAGCTGCTTCGTTGCGGTGGTCTCTTGTAAACCAATGCGATTGGGTGTCCATGACATTATTAGCTGGTAATCGCGTTCCGGTTGCAACTGTATTTTCTTATCTGGATCCGTTTCGCGCTGCATTTTTTGAATACCGGCTGGTGTTAGGGTGACATCCCAACTTGCCTTCTCTTCGTGATTCCATTCACGTTGTGTTGTTGGCACGCGGGCAAGTGTGACCGCCCATTCCGCAACAAATTCGTACGGTGACAACCACCACACTTCGGACGCAACAGGTCGGTGACCGTAAACTTGCACAATGTCGACGGAACCTAGATGTCGGACGCCCGAGGCTTGTCGCCGTGTCCACTTTGTGGTGGCGCGCTTGGTTGCTGACGCGCTAGCGGCTTCATTGTGATACATCGCTACGAACTCTGCAAATGCAGCTCCAGGGAAACTTTCAAATGTTGTTGTAGCAATGCGCTCAGCTGCAACTACTGCACTTTCGCGATGATATGCGCGCAAGTTACAGCATTCCACTTGCCCGCGCACAACACCTTTTAGGTATGCATCACTTAGAAATCGGTTTGCATGTCGCTTGCCCACATCGTCCAAAGCTTTCCCACCATGTTGCGCATGCAACTGTTCATGTCCTTTCTGAAATTCCTTGATTTCTCCGTGTCCCATAGGCTGACTCTTGGAGCAATAATCCGCACAATACCCAGTTTGTGCGTCTTGTGCCCTTTGCGCCGCAAGTGAAATCTCGTGGCGTTCTTGCGTCGTAAGGGTGTCCCCGCAGGTTCGACAGGTGTAGGGTAGTCGATATGGAATTTGGACATCACAATTGGCACCGCGCAATCCGGCTAACATGGCCGGTGCACAACCATTCAACCACTCGTGCCCGCAAGGACCATGTAAAGCTCCTAAACGATTTTTCCGTCCGCCAACAGGCATACCATGCAATTGGAGTTTGCAGGGGCATAACACGGTTGCTTCTGAGCAGAGCCACTGGGTGCGAGGAAAATCGCTCTTGCACAACCCGGGCCGATCACTTTTTTGGCACCCTGCTAGTGGAACGCGTTCTTGCGTGACTTCATTGTATGGGTGGTAGTGATGCTGTTTTAGAAGCTGCAATTGGACAACGTCGTTTTCTAAGTACTGTCTTCGCCATTCGGTTGCCTCTGCTTCTAGATCGTCTGCTGCCGCAGCACGACGCAAGAGGTAGTCGGGCAGCTGGGTCATAGTCACATCGTGCTCATGCGATGGCCATGACGCTTCAGCAGCTGCAATTCGCGCATCCATTCCGGCAAGCGACTGGCCGGCATAGGTAGCGTGGCACACATGGGCGTTATATGCTTCGTATTCCCGACGCAAAGCGTCAAGGCGCGGACGTGAAAATTCAAATATTTCTGCCAGCGAGGTATGCTGATGCAGACATTGAACAAACACTTGCATGTGCCCGTGCTGACCACCTGTGCTCTTTTGCGCCTCTAAGGAAATGTAGACTGCATCTACGCGCCCAAAAATTCCGCCGCTTGTCTCTGCATTGCTGCCGCGTAGGTCTTGACAGGGCTCTAAGCCACAAAAGCGGTTGCAATCAGGACAAAAAGGACAAATACGCACACCAAAAAGGTGCTTCAACATTAAATGTGTGAGCACGCGCAAACCATCCACTGCGGCCAGAGGATCCCTTGCTAAAACTTCGCGACGCTCTGCCCAAGACATGGGTAACGTGAACTCATATTCAAATGGCCCAGGCGTCGCAGCACTTGCTGTGCCGAGATCAGGGAAAAACATGTCGCCGGCTGGGAAATCTTGCGCGACAGATGCAGCACGTACAGGATCAGATGCCTGAACTCGTGTCATACGAACGAAAAGCAACTGATGTGCCTCATCTGGCGTATAAGTGACGAACAACGGTACCCCATACCGAATTCGCATCGCCTGGATTTCGAACCGCATTCTCTTTCGCGCTTCCTGTGTCCCTGGTAACCCCTGCGCTGTATGTCGCATGTTCGTCAACAATTTTCGCGCCATCGGCTTCAGGCCTTGCACATATCTGAGCTTGGAGACATCTCCTTTGACTGGGCGCGGTTGACCTGTAACATCTATATAAGAGCCCTTCAGGGCGAGCAACAGGTCTTGTGCCCCCTGTTCCACGTGCTTTCCCGTCGGCTGCACCCACTCTTGCGTTTCTTCATCGTAGAAGCTCCGCGAGTATGCATCCGTTGTTCGGGACAGATTCAAAGCTGATCGAAACAGCAGATTCCACGACGTAAAGCCAAAAACCCAATCACGACTGACTTGCGCCTCGATGCGTCGCGCCATGACTTTGACCCATGTATTTAGCTCGACGTGCGGATCTTCCGTGTGGCGTCGAAGCCGTTTCCGTTGGCTCCACTTGGGCACATCAGGCAAACCAATGCCATCGGGGAAGACAAAAGGAAATGCTAAAGCAAAGTAAAGCGGCTGAAATTGATCCAAAAGTTTGGTGCCCGTATACAGTGTCACTTCTGGAAGAGGCTGCGCGGGCGCTGGCTGACTGCGGGTCACAACGTCTTCCAGTGCAGACACATGTTGCGCATTTAGATCGTGACATCCTGCAGTTGTTTTCTCTAGCACGACCGCGTTCGGTTTCAGCAAACGTCCGAACTCACAACTCACTTGTGCTTCAGACATTTGATCATTGAAGGGCGTAGCTGCTTTTTGCCGCAACACGTGATTAAGACTCCCATCGTTATCCAATAAGGCAATGATTTCGGCGGGAACGTCATTTTCTGGTAACATTTCGGCACGTGCTTCCACGAGTGCCATATCTATCCCTTTGTACGCAGGATGGCTTCGCGCAACCATTGTTGCGATTAATCTCACAACGACCTGCCGCCGGACAACTGCTTGGTGAATGATGTGTTGACGCATCGCTGCTTTGTCTTTCTTGTCTCCTATTTTTATTATAACGGCAATTTTGTCACTTAATGCTTTGCCTACGTGCGGTAGGCAAGCGGCAGCCTGACTTGATGCTAGTTTTTTGTCCAAACGCTGGAATTCGGACAACAAGTCTTCCCATGGCAACGGAAACGTCGTTGCATTTCCTTTGGCGCATAGGCGGTGCCGGTTCATAAATGCATCTTGGGCTAAACTCCGGTCTTGCAGGTAACGCCATTCAATGCTAAAACACGTCAAGGCAGTCATGCAAGGGCTTGCGCATAGCAATTCTAAAACAGTACACTCTTGCGTATAAATCTCACGCGGAGGATGGCCAAGTATCATGTCGTTGCTCAATGCTTCCGGAGGCTTGCTCCTATGTCGGTAAAGATACGTCCAACACGAGGAACAAAGTGGCACCTCACACTGCATGCACACCGATCCGCTAGGACAACGCCTAACACATATTTTGTCTTCGGGACATGCAACAACATGAATCTTGTAGGAGGGGCAAGACATGTGACACGTCCACTGTCCCAGCTCTGGTTGCAAACTGGTCTGCGTGTCAGGAGGCAAAGTAGACACATAACGGGCATGATACGTGTTGAATCCCAACAAATTTTCTAGAACCTCTGCAGTGTGCCCAAAAAAAGACCCGTTGCGGGATCAAAGGCCCGCTGGCGTGCAATCTGTTGGTTTGGAAAACCTTGCGCAAAAGGAAACCTACGTGCACAAACAAAACAAATCGCAGCACCGACCTGTTCGCCAAGCAAGTTCGTGCGGAGTCTGCGTAAGCATCTGCGGTCAAGGGAGCAGTTGGCAATCGGCGCCAGTTGCTGGCAGCGCCAGGTTAGCACCTCTTGATAGGCTTGAAATGTTGCTTTTCGTGCAGAGGCCTGCGGTAACCAATTCAAGGATACAGCACGCAAAGCATGTGCATGATGATCCGATATGTGTTCTGCTAGCTCTTCTTCCGCTGCGCATTCGTACCTACAGGCTCGGAAAGCACAGTGGAAGTTGGGCAAGTCATATGCCTTCCCCAGATCACACGCTGCCGTAAACCGTTCCGGCAAGGTGGGCTTGTCGGACAGCAGAGCAGCTGCCTCCTGTCTTGCTGCATCATACGCAGCACGTGGATCTTGATTCCCTTGAGAAGGCTTCCAAAGCCGCAAAAGATAGATATCGCCAGCATCGCCCTCGGTTGACTTCGTTGCTATTCCTTCTGCGGGCACGTTCCCGGACTGAATGTCTTCCATGCCGGAGCCTGGTACCGTTTTCTGGCGCAGCCGGCGCAGAGGCACCGCTACATCTAGCTTCCTAGCTGTGCTGGCGCTGCCTCTTTGCTGCAACCGCTGCTGCTTTCCCTTTCCTTGACCCGCTTGTTGGGCTTTGTTGGCGCCGAGTGCTGTGCTTAATTTTCTTTTGCCGCATTGCTTTTGGTTTCCATCCTTCTTTGTGGACCCGCCCCCATCTGCTTCATTAGTTGATTGTCCAGCGAGTCCTTTCCGATCGTCATCGCTAGCTCCAGCGTTTTCATCGCTAGCTCCAGCCTTTTCTTGGCTGGGCACTGTCGGCGGCAGGTACTTGGCTTCATGGTTTGTGGCTGCTGGGCTCGAAGCTCCTGCCAGTGTTTGTCCTGCACCTTGCGTGCAGCAATTCCAAAAACTGCGAAACTGGTCTGCTAAACGGCGGGCATGATGCATCCCACTATCTGCAAATCTTAACCCTGCTTGCAACAGTGTATGAAGACAGATGCCTTCCGCATCCCTGTCTGACCAGGCTTCTTGCAAACAAAGAACGTCTGCTTTACTGATTTGCACCTTTGCGCCCCGGCTGTCGCAAAACCGTTGCAAAATATCGGACATTTGTTCCATATTGCCGCTAGGTTCGTTACTGCCTGCATCTGCCGTTCGAGGCGCAGCTTGCGTCTTTTGGCTGGAACAGTGGCTTACACGAGTCAATGCTGGCTCCTGCTGCGATACTGTTGGGGGCGACTTCGGCAATAATGCTGCATACTGACCATTTGTAAAACAATAGAGTCGGAAAATTGGCACTAGCAAACTGTCCAGTCGACCGATCCTGTACCTATGTTGTGGTACATTCAAGTCAGTGGTACTTGCATCGTGCACATTGACATATACCTCCACATTCACACTCTTCTTGCTGGTGCCCAGAAGAAAAAATGCTGCGGCCGCCAGATGGCTTTGCAAATCTAAAGTCTGCGCTTCTGCATCATTCGGCTTTGGCTCCAATTTGAGATGTCTTTGGCATGCTCTACATAGTTGTTGTCGTGCTTTCGGAGATGCAGTCACAGAAGGTCCCAGAGAAAGGTATCCATGAAAAAGCATATTCAATAGCAAGGCTTCAAGCCAGGGGATATCAAAACTAGACCCGCAAAGGTGCCATGCCAACTTGGCAAATACTGCTTCTGCTCTTAGATCTACATCTTTTTCGGTTCCGTCCATGTTGTGGCAAGCCTTTGTACTCATGCTGTGCTCCAGCTCATTACCTTGTAATCTTGTTGCGTCGGGTTTTGCGTCTATCTCTACGGTTGGTTCAGCTTCACGGACACTGGTTTGACGCAACAGACTATCAAAATGATATCCCCTGCCTTGCACAGAGGTGTGATTGTAAATATGCAGCTGCAAGGCCTGGTGCTCGGGGTGCTGGAACCCAAGATGGACAAGAATTTTGTTCCGGTCTGGATCTACAGTGCACTCACCAAACCGGTCGTGCACGTGAATTAGCATGTTGGTACGCGCGACAGCACGAAATCTCTGCAACAAGAATGCCACAATGCGGGGGCCGTCGCGGTGCGCATCTAAGTAGGGAAAAAGGCCGTTGCGACTTGGAGCTACTGCCTTCCCGACCTCTTGAATCAGTTGTTTCCTGCATGCAGCTGCAGCACATCGCCTTGCTGCGACGTGTGTGACCAAGTTCTCTGGCAAAAGGCCTTCGTTCGATAAGCACAGCATCAGGGAATCAATGAGGCAATTGTTGGCGCCGTGCGACTGCGCCTGCTGCCGCATCAACCCTTCCGCGGCCAAGACCCTTAAAGCTTGAGTATCGGTCATGCTTCGGTCAGGAGAATTTACCTGTGCAATGTCGCACATACGGTCTGCGATTGTAACGCAGCAGAATTCTGTCGTGCATGTTTGCAATTCTTTCCAGCCATCCCAAGTCGGTACCCAACTTTGTCCAAGTACTTTCGCTACGTTCTCTGCTGTTCCCAGTCGAGATAACAAGATTGCTGCCACCAGTTGCTGCGCGTCCTCCCAAGTCAATGCTGTATTTGCTGCTTCTTGTCGCTGCACGTCCGAGAATTCTTCATCAGTATACGTTGCTTCCATCCGACTATTTGTTCTCTCTGCACATAGCACTAGCATGAAGTCATGAAAAGCTTCCTCGTTTCTGTACAGCAACTTTTGCTTCTGAAAGGCTTTGTTGAGACATCTTACTGCAAAAGTGTCTTTTGCACCAGACTGTAAGGGATCGTCATTTCCGTGGCAAAGTGCGCAGTGGAATTGTCCCACTTCCCAACATCCGTGTTCATTGCATGCTCCGCGACCACAGGTGAGGCAGTGCGTCACATACTCATCACTCCATTGTTTGGGAACATATGCGCGTTTGTAAACCAAGCAAACGAAACACTGCAATGGTTCTGCGCCGCCTCCTCGAAATCGGAACGACAATTTCCTCTGCATGTCACCGTAATGGTCTTTTTCCAGAGGTTTCGCGTGTTTCATTACTCTGCAATCACGACGACATGAAGTCAAACTAATGGAGCTCTTGAAATTGTTACAACTGGGGCTTTCCTTTAGCATCTTAGTCTTTTCCTCGAAACGATCCACCGACCCCAGCACCTGGGAAAGCGCAAGCGGATTGTCCTGTGAAAATGAAGAAGCACAGCCGGCTCCTCTGAATCGACCTTGGCCTTTGCGTGTTAGAATACGTGGTTGAGTAAAACATTTCTTGTTGGTCACTGGCAAACGTTTTCCCGCCACGTTTTTTGCTAAGCTATCATCTTGCACAGTGACTTGGGTAAAACCTGGCACGCTCCTGTGTTTTGTTTGCTTCTTGCGCATGTAACCGTATGCATCGACAACCGCGGTCCTTGAGTCCATGTGTCTTGCGCAGGTGGCTTTTCTAGAACCGAATTTCCCAGTGCCCAAAATCTGGGAACAGTGAGCACCGGCATCCCAAAGCAGGCAGGGTTTGCCAGCACCCTTAAGCTGGCACCAGGTAGCGTCAGCATCCCCAAGCCGATAGGATCTGCTAGCACCTTGCCTTGTGTGTCGGGTGGCTGCTCCCTCAATGCACAGAGTTGCATTAGCACTAAAGGGCTTGGGTTTTTGTATGTTTACCTTTTGCTGCTGCGGAATACAAGTAGCAAGCGCGTGTGTTGTAATTGCAAGCTGATGCGACGCCTTCTTCACCTTGGACCTGCAATACTTGCCAAACAGCACTGCACGCCCGTTACTTGAGCAACCTGTACCTTTGCCATTATTTCCAACCTTTTGCTTCTTTGCTTGCTTGTCTTCCCTGGATACCTGCTTCTGCTCTTGACTTGCATCATCATTGACAAAATGTCTGACGCAACGGCACCTGGCCTGTTTCACACGCCTTCGGCCTACCCAGCGACACAGAAACGCCAGAATGGTTGTTTTGGTTGCAGACTTGCGTACATAGTTACATTTCACACGCTGTTTTTTCCACGGTTCCTTTGCGCCAGCTCTTTTGCGCTGATGCGTACGCATGTCACAATGACTTCTCGCCCCATAGCGCGTTGAGCGACTCATAATATGACTACTGTGCAGTTGCTCGGGTAGGGGGGGTACACATTTTTGCTCATAAGCGGCGTACACTGAGTGCCAACACTCACAAGCTGTAGTGCCAATATCAAAACCAGCGCCTATGCGAGAGACAGTGTTAATACAACGTGCCTGATTGCCTAGAAAATGTTCCAAGTCCATCTGCACGAGTCTCATTGTGCTTGCAGCATTTCCAATCATCATGTTTGGCAAAAGTGGCACGCACCATTCTTGCCAGCGTGTTGCTGTGTACGCTTTGCCAAGGCATGCAATTGCGTATTGCTTACGCCGACAGTGTGCGCACAAGGGGGCTGTACGATGCATACCGTCAATGCCTTTGTTGCAGTTGTAGTGGCAGTTGTTGTTATTGCTGCTGTTCATCTGCAAACTGATCTTCTCATGGCTGCGTCTGCTGTTCGTACTGTTCGCACTGTTACTTTTGTTCTTGCATATTCTGTGGTCTTCTCTCTTCTGGTCTCGGTCTTCGTCAATGTTGGGTACTAGCTTAAGGGTGCTAGGGGACCCTACCGGCTTTGGGACGCCGGCGCTCCCTGCCGGCTTTGGGACGCCGGTGCTCCCTGTTCCCAGATTTTGGGCACTGGGAAACCCTGCCGGCTTTGGGGCGCCGGTGCTCCCTGTTCCCAGATTTTGGGCACTGGGAAACCCTATTGTTGAAAAGCCACCTGCGCAAGACAAATGGACTCAAGGACATGCTTGTCGACGCATACTGTGACAGCATTTGCTTCATTAATTAATTGTGTTGGTTCCGCTTCATCGGATTGTGGCCCGAACCTTGTACTGTTGGTGGCATCAACCAGGCGCCATGTCTTCTGTTCGAGCTGTGATGCACCTGGCCTGGCAGAAAGAGAAAACCTCAAACTAAATTCACTGGCGTATTCTTCTACGCGGGTTGGTCTCGCTCTATCTTTCCCCACCTCCTTGTCGCAAACACAGATTTGCGCCCCCCCGGCTTTCCCCTTGCTTTGCTTGAGGGCGCAAAAACTACAGAACCCATAAATCCACAAACTTGCACAAAAACGCTGAGGCAAGAGTCTGGGAATAAAAACATGTGTTCAGCAATATATACTCAGAATGCAACAGCCTTTGTTTGTCCTGCTGCCTATTTTTTGATTTCACTCAGCGGAAGCTTCATACGTTTATGGTTCAATAGGACTACTCCAAATGCATGCCCGAAAGCACAAACGGATTTGTTGGTTGTGATCTTTTTTCAGGTGTGTATTACCAAGATTTGAAAAAAAAACAAGGAATCAAACATTCCCACGCAGGTGTTGTGTTTCTGCTACCTTGCCTTTTCCTGCCATCTTTAGAACTGCCCATGCCCCAAGTCCCTGAGCTCCCAAATTCTGTTTGTTTTTCTTGTTCTTGCAATGCAGGGCTAAAAATAAATGTTTCTCTCATACAGGCCATTTCCCACGGAAGCCGTGGGGTCTTACACAAAATGACCTCGGGAAGACTGGTTGTGGTTTCCCGTTTAGATCCTCTCTCTCTCTCTCTTGCTTAATCTGGGGGTTCTTGCGTCCCCTCCGCGTTCTTCTGTCTTGTCCTGGGGTTCTGGCGTCCCCTCCGCTTTATTGTTGTTTGTTCGGGTTCTTGGGTTGTCCCGTTCCCAGCTACCTGCCTACCTGTGTGTATATATATATATAAGCCCAGGTAGTTTTCCCATATCCTTTTTGGACACCAACAATCCCCATTGCATAGGACGGACAACATGGCACCTTGCATTGCATTGCATTGCATTACATTGCATTGCATTGCAGTACATTGCATTGCATTACATTGCATTGCATGGCATTACATTGCATTACATTGCATCGCATTGCATTGCATTCATTGCCTTACATTGCATCGCAATGCATTGCATTACGTTGCATTGCATTTCATTGCATTGCATTACATTCAATTGCATTACATTGCATCGCATTGCATTACATTGCATTGCACCTGTGCGGCGCAAACCAGTGTTTCATGTAGGGGTTTCTTATCAGGAGTTCTTTTCAGGAATTCTTTAGGGTTTCTTTGGCTTTCACCTAGGGTCTTTAAGGTTTTGCTTAGGATACACACAGGAGAGAATAAAGCCAAAAATTTAGGGTTTCATTTGGGAATTCTTTAGGATTTGATTTCGGGATTCTTTCGAGTTTCATTCTAGATTTCTTTAGGATTTACATTTTTTTTGAGTTTCGTTTAGAGTTTCTGTAGGGTTTCATGTAGGGTTTCATTTAGGGATTCGTTAAAGTTTCATTTAAGATTTAATTTAGAGTCTTATGTAAGACTTCTTATCGCGAACTGTCATGAGAGTTTTCAAACGTTCATGCGATTTTTTTTCGGCTTTCAGTTAAGGTTTCATTTACGGTCTCTTTAGGGTTTCATTTCAGGTTTCATTTAGGGTTTCTTTACGGTTTAAGGTCTTTTTCGGGTTTCTTAGGTTTTTATTTAAGGTTTCTTTAGTGTTTCATTTCGCGTTTCATTTATGGGTATTCCGATATTCCTGTGTATCATCGTTTTATTACTTTGCCATAATTCCTGCGTATCATAATTTTTTCAATTTGCAGTCTGCAATCATTCCTGTGCCTCATAGCCTTATCAATTTGCAATCATTCCCGTGCATCATTATTTTATCCATTTGCAATGAGTCCTATCCATCATAGTTTTATCAATTTGTTATCAATTTGCAATCATGCCTGTGGATCGTAATTTTATCAATTTGCAATCATTTCTGTGTATCGTCGTTGCATCAATTTGCAATCATTCCTGTGTATCATCGTTTTATCAGTTTGCAATCATTGCTGTGTATCATAGTTTTATCGGTTTGTAATCATTCCTGTGCATCATAGTTTTATCAATTTGCCATCATTCCTGTATATCATAGTTTTATTAATTTGTAATTGTTCCTTTGCATCATGGTTTTATCAATTTGCAATCATTCCTGTACATCATAGTTTCATCGGGTTACAAAAAATTCCTGTGCATCATAATTTCATCGAATTGCAATCATTCCTGTACATAATAATTTTATCAAATTCCTGTACATCGTAGTTGCATCAATTTGCAATCATTCCTGTGCATCATCGTTTGATCAATTTGCAATCACTCCTGTGCATCATACTTTTATCAATTTGCAATCATTCCTGTGCACCATAATTTTATCAGTTTGCAATCGTTCCTGTGCATCATCGTTTGATCAATTTGCAGTCCTTCCGGTGTATTATCATTTTATCAAATTGCAATCATTCCGGTGCATCATCGTTTTATCAATTTGCAATAATTCCTGTGCATCATAATTTTATCAATTTGCAGTCCTTCAATTTTTTCGGGTGAATTGCCTATATTGTGTCATCAATCTCTTTTCATACAAGGACTGACTGTATAATGGTCTCTACATACATATATACATCTACATATTTACAAATGTATAGTCACTATTTGGATGTGGTGATTGATCAGAGTACCACTGGCTCCTGCCAATCCAAGCTTGTCACTGGGAACCTCTTCGCAAAAACTTGCAAATGGGAACCTCCCCCCCCCGGGGGGGGGTTCCCATTTGATAATTTTGCTTCTTTTTTGTAATTTCTATACTTTCAACAAGGCTGTTTGTTGCTGTGGTGACAACCTCATGTCATAACCTGAATTGGCGGTCCCTAAAAAGTCGATTTTTTGAGTATCTTCTTTCGTTTGAAATTTCATCTGATTTTAGGTGACAATCTCATGCTTCTTTCTTCTTGAATGTGTAACAAAATGAATGTTGGTGCGTTAGGATTTACACTATGTGCATCAAGGTTTTATCAATTATCAATTTGCAATCATTCCTGTGCATCATAGTTTTATCAATTTGCAATTATGCTCCCAAATTCTGTTTGTTTTTCTTGTTCTTGCAA